CAACCAATAACCTTCTTTATAACACCCTATAAACTCAGTCCAACAAAGAATGGTGGCATGAAGGTGTTGTTCAGCGCCTGTTTAAGTGCCTTTTGGGAATTTCGGGTTTAGGGAGCTTTAGGAAAACTAAACCCTAAACCCTAAACCCTAAACTTCGGCCTTAAGCTTCAGGTCGGGATAGAAAGCCTAGCCCTAACCGAAAACACCAAGGGTCCGCTCGCCTTTGCCGGAGCGTGTACTCCATGGAGTAGATCCGGAAAGAGTTGAACAGGCTGATCACCTCGGATCTGGATACTAAACCTCAGAAGTTGCTAAAATGAAGGGTGCCGCTTCTCAGGATCCTTCAATTAGGATTCTACTACTACTCGAAACCGCCAGCCGTAGGCCTTAATCGAGTGCCCTAGATGAAAAGCCACACGGTTTTGAGGAATATGTTGTGTTTTGTTTGTTGCATTATAACTGTATATGGCTTTGGAAGAAAGAAGCTATCATTTTGGTGCCTTGTTTACTGTTTAGGACCCCTACTCGGAGGATCATGGGACTTAGTGATCGAGGGTATGAGGTGCCTCAATTGCGGTTTTCAGCAAGTATGAATCTAACTACCTGCTTCATAACCCTAGCTACTAAGTCCCCTAAGCAAACACTCAACAGAGGCCTTCAAGCAACCCTACACCCCAAAACCCAAAGTGAGACTCCTTCGAAGAACCCTGTTCGGACCCTAAACACCCATAAACCCCAATAACCCCAGTTACTACGTCCCCGAACCCTAAACCCTGAACCAGGCCCCAAACATCCGAACTAAAGCCACGACCCTCGACGCTTGGGAAGACAGGGCCCGGACGTTTAAATAATTCAGCAAGCCCTCGGTGTCGAAGACCTTCCAGGCTCTTCAGGCGTTGGGGCTTAGGGTTTTTGGCTTCGGGCTTCGAGTTTATGGGCTTAGGGCCTCGGGCCTGGCAACGCGGTTGCCAGTAGCCAAGCATGCTCAATCGTCTTCCCTAAACCCATCGCCACCAAATAAAACTCCTAGACGAACACCCTAGGCCCTAAGCATCCCAGAGCCTAGGCTCTTACATTCTTAGCACTACTACTACTACTACTACTACTACTACTACTACTACTACTACTACTACTACTACCAAGCACTCAATTCGAGCCTTCTGGTATCCCAACAGGATGAGGACGAAGGCCGTGATGAAGACGCCGAGGAAGCCGGGTAGGAAGAGGGTCTGTGCTTTGGTCATCCAGTAGCAGAACCTTTGCTGCTAACTCTGTGATTCATGGTTTTCTACGGGGCTTCTCGGGTTTGCAAAGGCTCTATTCAATTGGGCGTCATCGGGTTTGGAAGGCTTGACATGGGTTTGATGCAACATTCGAAACCGATTTTTAGGCGTGTATCACGAACAGAGCACGTGGTAAGCCGATGGTATATGGAGTTATAAATATCCCAGTGATGATCATCTTACTTCTACCCTTATCCTTGCACCAGTGCCCAAGTTCCCAGTGCTGCCCCATCTCAGTGATGGGGGCGATCAAGAGGCTTCGATAGCATGCAATGTAATGTAGGTATATGATTACCTCAAGCTACAATATGGCTGTGCTCTTTACAATAATACTTCGATAGCTCTACATATCTAGGCTTCATCTTTAAGAGGGCAACGAGGATCTCAAAGGAAGCGGCTACATGGGGCTTTGTGCTGTGGTGCCTACCGTCCATCTTCTTCTGATGGCCTGCTGAGACAGCTCCCGTGACACTGTCGAACATGATGACAAAGATGACGATGAAAATGAGGACGAGGATGATGGTGATGACGACGATGGGTGATGATTGTGATGATGGTCATGATGATGATGACAGTGAAGGTGATGATTGTGATGGTGATGATGATGATGATGACGGTGATGATGATGATGACGTTGATGATGATGATGATGATGATGATGAAGACGAGGAGGAGGATAATGAGGAGGCGGAGGAGCAGAAAGAGGAGTAGGAGCAAGACAGCTGCTATTATTCAACCATTATCGGTGCTGTTGTTCTTATGCCACTTTGCTGAAAACGATTCTGCATATTTTCCTATGGCTAGCAACCCTCTTCTTCAAAATCTTCTCCCCTTCCCAGCGGCTCGGTAAAGAGAGCCAAAGGGAGGATGTTGAAGGAGATGCCCAGCAGCGGGAAGCCTCGGCTCGGGCCGACTCCCAATACTATTTTGGGGGCTAATATTTTTTTAAGGGTTCAGGGAAGGGATTTTGGGGCTTAGGGTTTAGGATTTGGGATTTTTGAGTTTAGGGTACACGGGTTTAAGGTTTAGGGTTGGGGGTATGCACCCCGATGCCGATTAACACCCCTTACACTCTTACAGAAACCCTCATAAACTCGGAGCCAACGGTACGAGGGTCACTTGGGGAAGGCTGACAAGGGATCTTAGAAAGAGTCGCCATCGACATCAACAGAATAACTTTGGAAAGCCAAAACATGAATATTTAGGTTAAGCGTACATATATATATAAGTATATACATGTACATACCTGCAGACATGTGTATATATATATATATATGTACATGTGTATTTTTTAGACAGAATACATAGACATATGCAAGCACATGTGTTGTGCATTATATCCAAATGTACACGTATCCACAAACGCATTCATACATGAACCATGGTGCCACCAAAACCAATTAACTGAGCTGGTAGCCGCGACGGACCACCTGTTGCTTCATCAGTTCACGGCCATACTCATAAATGACAGGGTTTGCTTGCCTCTCTACGTGCGGGTGGCTTCATGGCTGCTTCTTGGTCCTGCTAGGATAAGAAAACTTAACTCTACTCGGCTCAGAACCCAAAAATGTGTCTTCTGGAGGTCCCTGTCATACTGAAGAGCCTTTAACACTTACAACAAGGCTTGCGGAATATATTGTGCTACAATCATATAGGTACGGTATGTGGATGATTTTGCTGATTATGCAGACCCCAATGTCATATTACACGAAGCAACCTCCAGCAACCCTAAAAATCCCATACTGAAGACTAAACCCTCACACCCCAAACTCTAAACCCCAAGACCCCTACAGATCCGAAGATTCCGAACCCACAAACCTCATGCATGTGTTTCTTGTTGACCTGAGTTTTCGGTTTGGGGTTTAAGATTTGAGTTCATGGTTTATGGTTTAATTAAATTTCCCGAGCGACCCCTTAACAATAAATGAGGGTGCCCCATTTCCTATTGCGCAGTTTTCCGAAGGAGTGCCCAAAATGCGCAAGGCACAAACAAGTACTACTCACACACAACCCTTTTCAAAGCCTTAAAACCTTTTTTCAATCCCCTTGAAAACAAGCACAGCCTAAACCCTAAACCACTTTGCAGATGTTCCAAGCCACGCTCACAAATCCAGCTGGGATCCGGCGTGTTCTGCCGAATGATTCTCCTTGGGTTTTGCAAGGCTTTCTTAGTTTTGATGTTTCGTACAGGGGCCTAGCTTCGTTTAAGGCTTCCTCGTTCTATCAGGGTTACTGTAAGGTTGCCACAAGTGTCAAATACAGGGGCCCGAATATTTGGGATAGACACTATAGCTATATCAGAAGGGTTTTGAGGCCAAGAGGCTCTGGGGCCTAGGGTTTAATGGGCTTAGCGGCTTTGAGGGCTTAGGAACTTGTGTGGGGTGGAGTACTTGCTTTCACGGGTCAGCTGGGATTCATTAAGGCCGGGGAGGTGCAGTTCAAGGTCGCAGGATCTAATGTAGTCGCGAGCACCGCTCCCCTAACTCCTAGATCCTGAACCCCTGAACCCTAAACCCTAAACCCTTAGATCTTAAACCAAGATCCTGGCGCTGCAGGTCTTCATCAGGCTCTTCCACCCACAGAGGGCTCTAGTTATACTTACAACCAGAACGCGGCAGCCGTCGCTGTCGGACTGCTGAGGCCAGAAATCGACGCCAATGTGCTGACTCTGGGCTTCGAGTTCCCTTGTGCATATGGGAGTTGCTGAAGAGTTTACGGCCACCTTGCTGTGGGTCCTTACGGTAGGGATCCTATCATACACAAGTACTGCGAGAAGGCGGCGCGCCTTGCAAAGATTTCCCGTCAACCGAAGCTACTACGGTTGATGATATAAATCCTGCATCACCCATAGTGAGGAATATACCATAATTCTCATACGTTAGGGTCATTAAGGTAATGCAGGATTTTTATCATCAACGGTAGTACACCGATTTTGCCAACAAAGCAGAAGTCGAATCCCAAGGTAGCGCTTCATGCCCCGCCTCTGGACCCTCAATCCTCTTCCGGGGGCTCCCGGTGAGCATGTAGGAAATTTAGGGTTAAGGGTCCAGGTCTTTACGGGGAAACTGCCCAACACACTTTCGCGGGCAAAGTCTCAGCAGAATGCCGTAGGAGCAGTAGATGAGAATTCCAAGCATGTGTTTCAGCCTCAGCCGGGTTCTGCTCCGAAAGCTCTGGGGTCCATTTAAGAGGGTTTAGGGGGAGCTTGCAGAGATTCTTGCCTTCAACTGTGCCCCTCGGAAGGTCCATGATGGCTTCAGCAGCTACGAAAGAGGGAAAGCCGACGGTTCCTATAGGGGCCTTAATAATAAGAAACGGGTTGTGGGGCCCATAAAACTATACCTATAATAAGGAACCCCCCCAAAAATAGTACAGGTAAGTATTCAGACCCCTCTTACATGGCGAAAACCGGAACCCGACTCTTGGCCTCAGCCCCGCCAGCAATTCTGAGCCGCAGGCAATGACAGAAGCGCCTTGCGGCGGAGGAAGCTTCACGAAAGAAAGCAGCAACACAGTTTGCTCAAATCGGTCCAGATAACCTGAACTTCCCAACCCCACCGATTTGAGAGCGGCACCCAACCAACCTACCACTGTCAGGCCTATCCTCTTGCCCGGAGCATTTTCTAGCGTTGCCTGGCGAAGGGTCTGATCACGTTCCATTAGCAAACAAGATTAATTGGTCAACTGTCAGTCATTATTGACGCGGATCCCATTGCGTCAGTCCTCCGTTTTGGAGGACTCGTTGTCACTCTCAGCGAGGTGCTCGGCGATCCGATGGTTGATCATCTCGGCCAGCTTTTGAGAGATCCCTTTCTCGATGGCCTCCTTGTTCTCAGACATCTTGGCCCACGCTGCCACTTCAAAGCGAGACTCATTGGTGCATAAGTTGATCTCCCCACTGCCTATGTCTTTCACGATCACTTGCGCTTCATCGTCTTCCTCCTTGTGCACGTCAATGATAGCTTTGATGACGACAGAATGCTTGCCATCGAAACCAAGATTAGCCCAACCCGCCCCACTCATTTGGATGTCGCTGAGCGAGAAGCGGTGCAGGTTCAGCGAGCCCGTCGTAGCCTCGTGCTTCCTAAACAGCTCCAACCCGAAGCTGTCCCAGTTGCATTTGACGGGCCCCACCATTCGCAAGACAGTCTCGACGGGGACCTCCTCATACTGGCCGCACATGGCAGAACCCATGGCCGCGGCAAGTTCCGCAAAGCACCCCGAACAAGGCCTGGCCGCAATGTGAGCAGTTGAGCCAAAACGTCTTCGCATCCACCAAACGAACCAGAGCTTGAGGGGCTCGGGTTGCGGTTGGGCTTAGGCTGTTTTTGTTGCTTCTTTCCTTCATTTGCGGATCGTGTCCGTCTTGGTGGAGGGATTGAGACTTCCGACTCAGCTTGAGCTTGGAAGTTCATGATTCGCGCGGCGTTGAAGCCGTAATACTGTTGATGATAAAAATCCTGCATTATCTTAAGGACGGTATATGCCTTATTATGGGTAATGTACCCTTTTTAGGGAATATACCATAATTCCCATATATTCCGTATTATGGGTCATGCAGGATGTTATATCATCAACCGTATTCCGGAGCCCGAAAGCGACAAGGGAAGCATCGATTCCTCGCCTGCGCCTTCCACACGTCAATGTGCTTGAAGAGGCCCCTTGCAGGGTCTAGGGTTTAGGGCGTAGGGTTTAGGGTTTAGGGTGCAGGGTACGGCCCGCCATCCAGTAATAGTTGAATAATATTCATACTATAGTTTTACAAGGACCTTAATAGTAGCTCTATTCTGGACTCTTACTGTATGGCGGCAGAACCTAAGGCTTAAGGTCTATCCCTTCTGGGGATTTCAGGGTTCGGGGTTTAGCGTTTTGGGAGTGGGGTTGGGATATGTCTAGAGCAGCTGGGACGAGGATTTAGGGTCCACAGCTTAGGATACATCTTAGAAGGGCCACCCTGTAATAGTGGTATAATAGGAATATAGCAGGGCCCTAATATAATCCTTATAGTCACTATTACAGGGTGGGGGCAGCTTCTACGGTTTAGGGTTCTGGGTTGAGCACAAGTTCGGGCCTGCCGGGCGGGTTTAGGGTGTGGGTTAGAAGCTGCCCCCACCCTGTAATAGTGACCATAAGGATTATATAGGATTATATTAGGGCCCTATTAAACTCCTATTATACCACTATTACAGGGTGCGGGCAGCTCCTAAGCTGTGGGGTTCAATTGTGCTTCGGGGCCTTCGGAACAAGGATGTCAGCAGATGTAGAGATAACATCTAAAATGTCAATAACCCTGATAACAGCAGTAATTACAACAATAACTACAATACGAAAGCCAATGCTAATACGAACAACAATATTTCAACCCTTCAGTAGTAGTAGCAGGAGCAGCAGCAGCAGTAGCAGCAGCGGCAGCAGCAGTAGCAGTAGCAGCAGTAGCAGCAGCAGTAGCAGTAGCAGTAGCAGTAGCCGTAGCAGTAGCAGTAGCAGTAGCAGTAGCAGTAGCGGTAGCAGTAAAAAGCAGCAGCAGTAGGAGTAGTAGTAGCAGCAGTAGTAGTAGTAGTAGTACTAGTACTAGTAAGAATAGTGTGGTGCTATATCATGACTTGGTGGGATTTGCAAGACCCATCCAGACATGAAACATCCTTGCGCACCACTCTGTCCCGCGTGCGCCGTACATGCCCAGCGCAACAACCTCATAATTTACAACCCGTACTTTGAGGGCCGCTAATTGAAGCAACTGCCGTTTTTTGAAAGGATTATCCGTGTCAGTGCGTCAACTAAATTCGAACCCCAAAACCGTATACCCCCAACCTGAACCCTTACGCCCAACCCTGAATCTTGAACCATGAACCTCTAACCCACCCTCAGCTAGCTCTGCAAGCATTACCGATGTCAGGATCGCTGGATTTCACTGGCCTGGCGGCAAAAAACCAGAAGACGAGGATGAGGAGCCACATGGCTAGGCGGCACATCAGAAACCTGGCTGCTTTTGGTTTGATGGCTTAGGGCTTAGGGGTAAGAGGGCTACACAAGGGCTTCTGTAAGGGCCTTGATAGCATTGCAACGGTTATGGAAAGCGAGAATTGAACAGAGAGTGTCGATGATTGGCACCCACTATTCTGTGCCCGTGGCCTCCATGCTGGCAGCGCAGAAGCTTTCGGGTGATCATCGGACCGGGCCCCTACTGCTGATGGACAAAAAATCCTGCATTACCCTTTATAAGGAATATACCATAGTTCCCATAGTTTAGAGTCCTTAGGGTCATGCAGGATTTCGTCCATCAACAGTATTACTTGTAAAGCTGCTGTAAGTGGTTACGGCTTTGGAGGCGTGCGTTTACGCAAGGCTTCCATGAGGTCTTGTATCATATAAAGTGAAGATTGTGTATTTCGGATTCTTAAGCTGGCGTTAGGGCCACAGTGCTCCGGCTTTTGGGGTTTGGGGGTTGAGGGCTTCGGGTGCGACTCAGCGGCCACATGATGTCCTTCAGCGTCTGCCCGACATCCTGAGAGGACGTCATAAACCCCAGGATGGGGACCTTAATAATTACAATGGGGTTTGGGAGGACATTATGCTATAGTAAGACAGAAAACTGCGATGTGTTGGTGTGCTACAATGTCTGATGGGATATGTTGACTTTGAAATGGACTTGTTGGCCTAGGTGTGCCTACATAGCAGATTGAAGGTCAATGGTAAGCCAGACCCTAACAGAACCACATCTTACACAAAATCCTAGCCCCCTGCACAGCTCGAGCTTCGGTGCACAGTAGGAGGGCAAAGGGAATGTCACCCTCAACACGTCCTAGCGCGGCACATCCTGCAGCAACCTGCATCCTAAACAGCTGGGCGGCTGAGTACCCTGGCCAATCAAAAGGCAGGATCCCTCGATAGAATCCCCGGAAAAAGCAGCGTTGGAAGGACAGTACAAGATCTCTAGAGCCATCAATATGAGAGCTTAAACGTCCTAACTCCGCAACTCCAAAACCTCGAAAACCCAAGAAAATACGAATTCAAACGAACCTCTGCAAGTTGTGACCCGACAGTTTCGACGCTTGCAAAGGCCCCCCGAGCTTGCAGCCGCGCGGCGCCATCCCGAAAACTGTGCAGCTTGAAGAGCGAATAGATCTGAGTAGCTTGAATGGTTTAAGGATGTCGGTGAATCCCTAAACCCTAGGCCTTTGAAGCAGTAAAACTCATTAAACACCCCACAAACCCTTATAAAGCATTTAGCAAACTCTGAACCCTAAACCACCATAAGTTGGAAGGAAAGGATCGAAATTAGTTGTTAGGTCACATGCTTACGTTCTTGCCTCAAAGAAAGAAGTCTCTATACTGGATTCGTCGATCCGCTTTTTAGCTGCTTAGGAGTTTCAGGCACCGTGGAGTACTGGGAGCTCCGGTTTGGTTTAGGTCTGATGGGAAAAAGGTAATAGAAAACCCTCAGGATCAGAAACCCCAACTACCCATGTACAACCCACAATTCCAAAATCGAAACCCACGCCCCGAATCAAACCCAAGACCCGAAAACAAGCACAAAAGCCCTAACACCCTCTGAACCCTAAACCCTAAACCGAAGCCTGCAGAAATCCCCGTTTTGGCCCGGCGGCTGTTGTGCCGATGGTCGCGAGAAGAGAGGAGAAGGCCTTAAAGGGCTGAACCCGATCTTTTGTCCGTGCAGGCATAATCCCTTTTATCTCTTTTCTATCTATCTATCTATCTGTCTGTCTATCTATCTACCTAGTCAACGTATGAAAAAGATTCACGGTTCTAAAGGTGGTTCTATAAGGGCTTGTCGGGTGTTTCGAGGTTTAGGGCTCAGGATCTTGACTGGGATTCTAAAGCAGATTCTACAAGGGCGTTATAAGGATTCTTCATGTTTTTATAAGTTGAACTGTGCCCCTTGTCTAGGATTTAGGGTCTGTAGGACTTTTTAGAGGAGTGACTTTAGGCTTGTCCTATGCCCTCTGTGGGGTTGTTGAGGTGGTTCGAAGGCTTTGGTTCAAGGTTGCTCACTGGCTTCGAAGCGGCTGTGGAGAAGGAGTGAAGAGTATAATTCAACTGTATAAATGTACAAAACCTAGATAAAAACACCCTCAATGCGCCTCGTATGTGGCAATCAATGACTGCGGGTGCTGAGAACTCTGGGGTTTGTGTGGTCCTAGGTGACATCCTACCGCCTCTACTCCCCTCACAATTTAAGCCTAAGTACCAAAACAGACACCGTAAAGTAAAAGTCAAAAAAACACCTACCTGACGCATAAAGTAACCTTGAGACTTGATTGTAGTACACCCGTACACTATGGCCGAAAACCCCCAGGTCCGCCTGCTTCCGCAACTCCTTCAACAAGCCTGACAGCGATGTCTCCAAAGAGTGGAGCTTGGAGTTTTGGAGTTTTGGGTGTTGGGGGGATGTGGGGTTTGGACTGTCCGTGTTCAGAATTTAAGGTTGAAGCGCAAGCAGGCACTCCTCTCCAATATCAGCGAAAGCTGAGAGCCATGAGTACCTGGCACTAGAGTCCTTTACAAAACCCAGGGGCCGAACCTACACTTACGGCTTTCAAACCCTCAACAACAGGGGGTACCTTATTGTGGTACCTTTAGGGGTTCCTTAAAGGGATCTATAGGGGTTCTATAAAGGGCTTAGGGTTTAGAGTTTCCGAAAATAGGGGTACCTTATTTAGGGGTCCTTATAGTAAGGCTCCTACTATTTAGGGTACTATATTAGGGTCCCCTATTTTCGGAAACCCCATATTTTCAAACCCTCAACAACACTGTAACACCCGACTCATAACATGAAAGACGATCCGTTCGTCCAGGGTTGAGCCCTATACAACAATATAGACCGCCCCAGAATTTGATTGTGTTTCAAGCCCTACAAAACCCCTGAAAGCCTGTGCAGTCCCATTATGAGAGCTACTATATTCGTCCGCATTTTCGCTCCGAGCGGCGACCGCAGCTGTAATGCAGGTGGAACCACCGGGTGAACTCCTGACGAGGGTTTAGGGTTTAAGGTGACGGTGCGTCTGGAAAAAGGAGAGTGAACCCAAACCGCAAACCCGAAACCCTCACCAGAAAGCCCGATACGCTTCATGAAGGAGTGCGTCAGGGAACTCACCCGGAAAGAACCCTAAACCCTAAACCCCCAAAGCCGGAACCCTAAACCCTAAACCTCTAAACCATGCAGCCCTTTGCGGTGCCTTTTGAGGGGTTCTCTTTTCGAGCTCCCCACACCCCGCCCCAAGCCTCGTCTTCACTGTCCGGGAATCCGCGGGGAGCAGCCCATCTGCACGCAGGGCCGGCTTAGGGTTCAAGTTTCCGGGGGTCGCTTTAGGGCTTTGCGGATTTCGGGCTTCGGGTCTAGAGCTTGGAGGGCTCCTCTCAACTTCCGCGATGCCTCCTGGGGTGCCAGAGCCACTGTACCCTCTTGCAAACATCCGCCCAGGTGACGCCGCCCATACTCATCTGACTGCTTTGCCTGAGTTTGCGAAAGGGTCTCCGAGGCTCTGCTTCCCAAAACCATGCACAAATCAGCTGCAGCTTGGCGGCTGCTTCGTAACCTCGTGGGCCACGGATAGGATATCCTCGGCCTCGAATTTCACGGGAGAAAAAAATCGCTGGGAAGACGCAGGGACTGTGTCTTATACCTCAAAGACAGAGACCCTTATGTGGATCTACCAGGGGTTTCGGCGTCGGATCTAAGGTTTAAGGTTGGAGCCTGGAGGTCTCGGGTTGAAACACCCCTAAACTAGTCCTCTTGCACCCTCAACCCTGGCAAAATTCGATCCTTCAGGCAAGGCTGGGCCGCCCCAAATCAACCAAAACCCAAACGCTGGACCGTCTCTCTCGGGCTCAGGCGAAATCGGCGTCGAGGTCGGTGTCGGCATCGGCCTCTGACTTCATTCCCAGCAGCTCCTTCATGATGCCTCCCAAGACAAGACAACTAACCCTAAACCCTAAACTCCATGCGACCACGACCACGACGACTCGACGACTACGACTAGGACCAGGACTATGGCCGCGACTACGACGACGACTGTTGCGAGCACCACCACAAGTAGTACTGCTGCTGCTGAGAGTTTGACTAGCTTCATGATTAGTATCGTCGTAGGAGTCGTCGTGGTAGCAGTAGCAGTACGAAGAGGATTAAGCGGTTCCAAAGAACATCTCTCGTTTGCAGACAGGAGCTGATGAAGGACTCGTGGAACACGTTGCAAAGGGAGGGGGGTCTGTCTAGCCTTAAGAAGTGCAGATCTAATCAGTTGTCAAATCCGTCGGAAAAACATTCCAGCAATTCATGTAGCTGCACTGGGTGCGATGTCTCGCTCCATCCTAATGTGCCAGGATCTTCCGACACGAACCATTATACCAGGGATTCTACCCTTATGAATCAGGTATCTACATGTAGGACTTGAACTTAGTTAGGTTTAGGCTTTAGCAAAGTACGGTGCAGAGTTTAGGGTTGAGGGCTTAGGAAGTTGAAGGCTTTACTGGTCCAACCAGGTGCTTTTAATTATGGGTTCCGAGGGTTTAGGAGCCCTAAACTTTAAAGCCTACACCCCAAACCCTAAGCCCGTTTCGGGTTTTCAAGCCCTGGCACCTGCCAGTCGATGTGGGCTTGGGGAGCTGGGCGTCGCCAGGCGCCTCAGAAGACTTCGTAGCTCTGCACACCCTGAAATCCTAAAGCCCCCTAGTTCCCAATTTTTGGAGTTTCCGAGAATAGGGGTCCCTAATACAATACCTTAAATTAGTAGGATCCTTATTGTAAGGACCCCCAAAATAAGGTACCCCTAGTTTTCGGAAACTCCAATGTAGAACTGAGGCCAGCGACACCGTGGAGCGCCGCATGGGCTGCTCGGATTGGGAGCGATCCCTTCGCTCCGCTTCGTGCCTTGCACCCGAGCAGGGCACTTGAGATTTGTGCGAGCTTATCGCTCAGGGGGTCAGGTTCAGGGTTTGGGGTTCGGAGTTTAGGGTGTGCGGTTTAGGGTTTAGGGCTTGGAGTTCTGAACGTTTGCAACTGGCTTTTGCGGTTGCTTCGTGGATTTATTGTTTTTTATCTTCAAAAGTTTTTGTCTTTAAAAGTGTTTTTTATTTCTGCTGTTGGGAGTTCTGGAGGTTCTGCAAAGTTTCAGCAGGGCCTTGCGATTGGTTGAAGGACACTCTCCAAGTCTGAGGTCTGAAGGATCTGGGGGTGGTTAGGGCTTTTGGGCTTTGTAGACATTTAATACAAAAACAGAATGATTAGAAGAGGGTTCTGGTGTACGTTATGGTTGTCTGCAAAGAAGGAGCTCTGGGGCGTAAAGTTGGTAAGCACTCAAGCTTCTATAGTCGAAGTGCTGCATGAGGATTTGGGGCGGAGATGTCTGGTCCTAGAGCTAGAAAAATCTATGGGGCCTCAGCTCTTGACGAGCATTACTGGAATATTCAAGCTGCTATGTTAAACCCTAAACCCCTACCCAAAGCCCAAACCTCAAAAAACCCTAAACCCTAAACCCTAAACGCCTCCCTTGCCTGCTCATGGCTTGTCCGTCCGTCTTTGCTCGGTTGCCCTCCCGGGCACCCAACCTCCAGGGTTTCTTTGGCATTCAGGGTTCAAAGAGTTTAGCTTACAACGGCTTCTGACAGTTGCGGCTAGCATGTTTGACAGGCGAACTACTCAGAATTTCTATCGGATCTGACGTTCAGGGCTTTCGCGGCCCTGATGGAACCACTAAGTCTGATAGAAACCTCATAACAACAAACTCTAAGCCCGCAAATCCTTCCTAAGCTTGGGAGCCTCCGAGGCGAGGGGAGCTGGTTGCCGTTGGGGAAGCTGGGCACCAGCAGCGTGGTCGGCATGCCTCGGCAAGGGCTTAGGGAGGAATTTAGGGCTGAGAGGGACAGGGCTTTGGGTTTAGGGCAATTCTGGCATTGGCCTGTATTTTGAATTAAGTTCCTAGACAAAACACCTTTAAAACAACCCTTATAAAAGCCTTACAGGAACCCTAAATTGCGGCAACTTCAACTAAGTTCCTCAGCGGAAACCTCACAAAACCCTACACCCTAACCCCTAAACCTTAACCCAGGAAAGCTCAAACAACCTCCTTAAAGGAACCCTTATACCCTTTAGGGAATCCCTCAAAGGAACACAGTAAACGCCCAACCAAATCCTCGCAAGCCGGCCGCTGATGTGGTCGCTGGTCTCCCGCACCCAACTTAAGCTCGAGAGTTCCTCTCAAGGCGGCTAAGTAAAAGGGGATCATGTTTAGGGTTTAGGATTTTTTGGTGTTGTAGGTGTAAGGTTTCGGGGCTTTGAGTTTAAGGGTTTAGGGGCACGAGGGACCCACAGACCTTCGAGAACGTTCGTTGCTTAATAGCTTTTCGCCGCACATCAGCCACCAACAGCACCTACGTTGTCGCCGTCTCCTTCATGGCGTTCAAGAGGGATCCTACCGTATACTTCCAGCAAGCTTGGGTCCATGACCCTCCAAAATCGTAAGAGCCCCGTAGAATATGGACTTCGAGAAGCTCTGGGCCGTGCCCTGGAGCAAACACATTCAACACCATACCAGAAGCCCATCACAACTCCGCCAACCACCGGTTGAAAAAAAAAGCTGGAACCATATTAAAGACCCGTATCAAATCCTCATGAAGCCCACCTTACCCCAAAAAAACACCCGAATAAAAGCATTCATAAACCCCAAAGACCCTAAGCCCGCCCAATCCTCGGGTGCTGACCCTCTCCTGGGATGTTCTAAAGGCGTCTTCGGGTTTGGGACTTAAGGGTACAGAGGAGGGTTTAGGGCTTAGGGTTCAGAGCCTTGGGGTTTAGAGGTCAGGGACTTGCCATCGGGGGTCTGTTGAAAGGGTTCTGGTGGTGTTCCTGGATTTTTCTGTGAGGGTCCTTTCAAGCATTGTCGGGCCAACACCGATTATGTAGGGTTGTGCAGTGCTTTTCCCAGGCTCTGAAAAAGGCTTCACAGGCGGCGCTTGAAGGGTTTTGGAGTTTGGGGTTCGGGGACTCAGGCATCTCAGGGGTTTATGGGTTGGAATTCAGGCTCTTCAAGCTTTAACTCAGGCTTTCGGAAGTTTGCGGGGGGCCTAGGAGAGTGAGGACGGAGAGTCAAAGAGATTGGATGGTGTTCGAAACAACTCGGCTGTAGCAATGATGAAGGGGCTGCAAGGAAGCACATATCTCTGCTACACTACATCCACAGGGATGGTCGCTCGGATGGAGCTTAGCAGGAAAGACGGATCGCCAAAGCTTATCCAGGTGTGCTTGACTAGAAGCGGGGGGCCAATTTTGCCGGACCTTAGTGGGAAGTTAGAGATGGCACATCGCTGTCCCCGAACCTGTAGGGTTTACGGCTTCACCCCATCGAAACCCTACAAACCAACTCCCATGCCTGAGCCCTAAACCCTAAACTCTCCATGGGGCTTTGGTCCAGGCTTTAGAGGACGGTATGCCAAGGTGCAGAAGGTAGGTCATCACCTGTCCTTTGCCCTTCATCTCCTGGAGTTGGACGTGTGGCAAGACGCGTAGAGCCCCAAACCGCTCAACTGCCCTAAACCCGAAATATGAACCCCTGAACCCATAAACCCTACACCCCTGAACCCTAACTCCCACTACCCTCAGCCCAAGCCCTCATCCTCAAACTTCATGAAGCTCCTAATTTCGAAAACTCCTTTTCTACCCAGTCGACGCCGAGCTCAGGAACCAAGGGCAATCTGAAAATCCAGACTCGAAAAACAACCAACATCCGCACAGGAAGGCCGAACTAGTGCTTGGGCTTTGCTACCTGCGGTCGCCTTTGACATGCTTAAGGATGAACTGCTGTTCAGGATGCATGGCATGCCGAAGCAGGTGCGCTCCAGGACACAAGACAGTGTGGTGATATATGATCGTATTCAGTAGTATGTGACTACGCATAGCAGTTCTTTACTGGCTTGAGGAGCTGCTTATACGAAGCTTCTCATCTAGTTTGAAGTCATGCTCGCCTACTTTAGGGTTTAGGGCCTTATGGACCCATTCTAAACTCCCTTCTATCCCTTCCAAGTCCCCTTCTACCCCATGCTAGCCATGAAGTTCCCCAAGTGACGCAATGCAGCGGAGTCGCGACCCAGCCGCGAGACTGTGCTATAGCCCACTGAGGCAGGTGCCTGAAGTGGGCTCTGATGGGGGCCCTTAATGACTAGACTAGGATTCTGTTGAGTGCCTCTACGTGTTCCTGTACAGGGTTCTATGAGCGTACTTTAAACGGCTCTTGGGGGGTTATATACGGCTCCAAGATAAGGGCTCGAATACTTTCCGAATCGGGTTTTAGAAGGGCTCTGAATGGTTCCAAAAGGAACTTACCAGGTTTTACCACGGCTTCCATAAGGGCTACCCTAAGGGCTATTGCAAGAGTTTAGCATATTGGAATGATAATTCGAACAGCTGTTGAATGATGTTTCACAGGGTTCTATAGGGTTTTATGTGATGGGAGGCCTGATTCTTCATAATGATGTTGTACAAGGAGGCTTGAAAGGCTTAGAACTGTTTGACAGGGTTGTTGTAGGGTATTAGCGGGTTTCATACGGAGGCCTCAACAATTTGACTGAGGTGTTGGGTGATGTTACAGATTAGCTATGTTATGTTACAGAATAGCTATGTTAGAGCTACAATATGGAAACGGATATTGCTAGTACATACCCTCATCTTCTGTGCGGAGCAAGTGTCTGCTTCGTCTCCTCGCCGAACTGCACCTGGGAGGGTGGTAACATCCTCTTAACCCTAAACCCTAGCAGCCTAACATCCCTGTACCATCGCACCCTCAAAAAGTGCACCCCGAAACTCTAAGCTCCAGGCCACATAACCCCTAAACCCCCCCTAAACCCTAAACCCAACTACCCCAAAACCCTAAACCGCCAGCACAGTCTCACGTCAAATCGTCGTGAAAATGCCTGAAATCGACCTGAGCTCCCGGCCTCGCCCGGCAAGCTTTTCTGCATCATCCTTCCCAGGAGGCTTTGGTGTGTTTTCAAGTCTTGGGGTTTAGGGTTTATAAGGGTTTGGCGTTTAGGGTTTAGGGGTGCGGGGTTCAGGGTTTAGGGGTTTAGGATTTAAGGTTTTTTTTGAAGTGCAATGGCTTCATTCTCTGCTGCGTAAGCAAGGTCTAGGGTTTAGGGTCTGGGGTTCAAGCGCTTCAACATTCTCCGTCAGCGTGAGTATTCTGAACTTCGGGACAGAGAATGCAAGGGCCTGCAGTACTCTCAAAACTCTCAACACCTGATTCGGCTGCTACCATGGCTGCTGTGCTAGCGCCGGTCTTCTTTCTCATTGAAGTAAAGTCCCCGGGTCTTTGCAAATCACGAGCATCATGTCTGAAGACCCAGAAACCAAAGCAGTCTGTGATTACCGTTCGTTTTCAGGTCGTATACTTACAGATGTAGATGTAACATCTTGACATCGTATACCCATGTCGTATATTCATATGGTATATTTGTAGCCTATATTAACCAAAGTTGTAGTGCATTACACCATAGTATATCAGCCTGCGCTCCGAAAACTAAGCCCCTTTAGTCCCAAAGCCCACAGTCCTTGCGGCCATGTTCATTGTGTCCCCAAAAAGTCGGAAGCGAGGAAGCCTGATTGCAGAAGGCCATGCAGAGCTCGGTGTCCAGACTTGGAGAATGACTCTTGCTGTTGTGATCAGTCTTCTGATATGTGCTTGGTCATAATATTGGATCTTCAATGATTTGAATAGGGTTTTGGTTGCATTGTAGAGTCTACCCAGAAAAAGGGAGCCTCTGGAATAGTGTTGAATATGAGTGAGACCCCTATGTCTGTGCTTGTGTGGACCCGTTCGACCTCTCAGCAAAGCTATGGTAATTCAGGGGGCCGAGGGCTTTGTTCTACCAATGCAGTCGGAGCCAAAATCAGTAGGCATCCGCGGGAACCTCACCTGGGCCCCCTTTTGTGAGGGTTATTGGCTTCTTTTCAGCTTCCACGCTGTGCTTAGCGTCGAGGCGGGTGGTCTTTACCTCTTTCGTGCTGCAGCTGGACAGGTCGGGGGATGGGGGGAACCATCAAGAGTCGCTATAAGGCATAATGTGCGCCATCTTACCGAGAGCCTTCCGCGCTGAAGCCCACTGCAACCTAGAACCTGAAGAAGGGGTGCAATGGCTTCGAAACCCACAGAGCAATCACGTAGCCATAAGATCCTGGCAAAAGACTCTGCGTAACTTCCTACATCGTGATAAAACCCCATCATTGCCCAAGGAGAGCTCATGAATCGAAAGCCAAGTTCGACTCGCTTGGGCTTCTGGCTCTTCCATCTCAAGCGCAAGGAGCCCCTCTTGGACCCTGAACCCCCCACCCCTTCCCCGCAAAAAATCCTAAACGCCCCCGAACCACCATGAACTCCTTAAGCGCATCGCCCTGAAAGCCTATGACTGGGCGATTACACGATAATTCGCTCTGCGGGCCTGCGGCCAACGACCCCAGCAACCACCGGCCCGGTGTGAATGCCCATCTTGACCTGCCCAGGGACTCGCTAGGGTTTAGGGTTGGTATATACTCCATTCCGTTTTGTGGATCACCTATATCCCGCAATGTAGACCCCAGCTGAACCCGCATCTGAAGGACATTGATGTCTTTGGGTTCATCTTAAACCTGTAACGGCTTACGGGTTAGGGTGTAGGGTTCCCCAACTAGGGTTTGATCACTGAGAGTTTGGGGGTTGTCTAGGGTTCGGGATCGGGTCGCCATGAGTTTCAGGATGATCAGCTTTCAGAGGGGCGGGGCAGTTCTTGAACCAGGGTTGGTATTATAGGGACCTTAATCATAAGAGTAGGGTTTTGAGGCCCATTACACTGTCATTATAGACTATCTAGGCCCCTACATTACAAGCAGACGCTTCGGACACAGGGTCTACCTCGCCGAATTCATGGATTGTTGCTTCCGTCAGGAAGAGCACGTCTATGAGTGCGTGGAGAACTGACCCCGCATGTAAACCAGTTCGCAGGGTTCAACCCCAAGCCCCAAAACCACAATTGAAACCCCACGGTTTAGGGTTCAGGGTGCTCAAAACGCAAACCCCCAACACCTCCGAAACCAAAAACTCTAAACGCGCAGGCAAGCGTCGAGAGGCGTGTCCTGGGACCTCGACAGTTGCAAGAAGACCCAAGCATGCTCAGGGGAAGTCGAGGGGCCACTGGGCTTCAGGGTCACAACAACAAGGTCACAAGGTCTTGAAAGAAATCTTGAAGGGCTACAAAAGTTTCCGCAAATGGGGGACAAGCGACCCTTAGATAGGATCCCCAAATGACTGGGACCTGTCGTGGAGGGGACCCCGAAAATCAAGAATCCACACATGATCCCGGCAGCATAGCGATCCTTCTCCTAAGCCCTGAACCCCAAACTCTCCGAAAACCTAAAAGACCCTCAACTGCAATAAGTAAATCCGACACCCTAAGCCCCAAAACAAAACACCCTAGACCCCTTCAGTCCTGAACCACGCAACCCTAGAACCTTAAAGCCCCAAAACCCTGAAGCCATCGAAAACTCCAAACCTCACCTAAGTCCGACCTTGCCCTAAACCCAAGCCCCAAAGGGCCGTAAACCCCGAAGCCCCGAGAACCCTAAAGCCCTGAACCCGCAAAACCATGATCTCACCAAGGGGCGCGGACATCGTCTGAAGCTCGAAAGCCACGCCCAGGAGCCGGGCCAGGCAGCTGCTATGGCCGTTCACGTGGTCCTGTTTTTTAAGGGTCCATTATGGGTTCCATAAGGGCTCTTTGAAGGTTCTTTCAGTGCTCTTGAAGGAAAGTTTGAGGGTTGGGGGAATTTATTAAACGCTAGAACGCACCCCGAGCAGCGCTGGAACATTTCTTCCCAAACCTCCGGGCTCCCAGAGCTTCGGATTTCGGGGTGGGGGCTTCTAGTTCATGGTCGGGATAGGATTGAAGATGTACTTCTTTTTATTCCTTATTGGGTTTAAGTACCCATAAAAATCTAGAATGTTACCCAACTATGACAGAGGTTTAGGGTTTCAGGTGATCAGAGTTTAAGGGTTGAAGGGTTTCGGTTGTCGAGTTTAGGCTTTGCAAATGTAGGAGTGGAAAGTGTCCCTGACGTCGATGGTCCCTAAACCCGCTGCCCCAAGCCCCAAGCCGCACCGAGGCTTTAACTCTAGACCCCAAGCTCAGCGAATATGGGTGCCGTATATGAATGATTAGATTAGAGTCTTGGGGTAGGTTATACGATAAAAAAGGGAGCCCTAAAGAATAATACCCTAAACCCCTAAACCCTAAACCCTAAACCCCTAAACCCGAAACCCCAAACCCGAAACCCCAAACCCTAAACCCTACCTTCAACCCTCCTGTCCTCGTCCTGATCGGTTGGCGAAACGCCAACCCCACAAACGTATTCCTCGCCTGACGGGTGAGATACCCTGAACCCTAAATGGGAGTTTCCGAAAATAGGGGACCCTAATGTAGTACCGTAAATAGTAGGATCCTGATTATAAGGACCCCAAAATAGAAAAATACCCCTAATTTCCCGGAATGCCCTAAATAAGGATCCTTATTCTAAGGACCCCAAAATAAGAAAATACCCCTAATTTCCCGGAAACTGGGGAGGAACCCAGGGAGCCCCCCCTTGGACCTTTGGCTGTTCGACTTCTCTATTGGGGGTTTAGGGTCAAGGGCTCCATACGGGTTTCATGAGGGCGTCTTCTATACCCCCCCCCCTTAGAACCATAATAAAAATAGTAGGTTAAATATTCTCTTGGGTTTTATATGAACAAAAATAAAAGTCCTAAGGAGACTGTAGTTAAGGCTTCTAGAAGAGCTTCTCTGCGAGCTTTAAGGAGCGGGCCCCGCCCTTGAAACCTTAACGCTGCGAGCAGATCTAAGGCAACTCCGAAGCTGAAACTTTAGGGTTTGGGGTTTAAAAGCCCCGAAACTCCCAAACCGTTGCCATCAGAACCTACATGAAATATCTTGAAAGCAATCCCTCTACAGTACAAGGTATCTTTCCCTTTAAGCTAGGAGGTTCAGGGGCTTGTTCGAGGAATCCTCGATGCTGGCGTAGGTAAGGCTCTCTCAGAGCTCCAGTGATCCGTCTAAAGTGCGTTTAAGGTTAAGGTTTCAGGTTTCGGGTATAGAGTTCACGATTGAGGGTTTAGGGTTTAGGATTGAAGTTGAGAGGTCAGAAATTGGGGTTTGGGGCTTAGGGTTCAGGATTTCGGCTTTGGTGACATGTGCTTCAAGGCTTGGGGTTCAAACCCCAAACCCTGAACCCCAAAAAATCGTAGACGGCTTCGGCTTTACGGCGCGAGCTCTTACCTCCTGGATTCTGCTTCCCAGGACAAGCCAGGAAAACTCTAACTGTAGCCTCGGGCATTTTTAGCATGGAGGCTTGGGGCACGCGGGGTTTGAGGGTATAGGCGGCATAGGGTATACCTTAACCTAACAAACCCTACTTTCTTGTAGGGTCCCTATAAATTCCATATTAGGGTTTATAATAAGAACCTACAAAAACGTAGGTTTTGGTAGTTAAGGTAGGGTTTAGGGTGTCGGCTCTGGGTTGGACAGCTTGGGATGGTTCGTGTGCTTGGCCCCCCGCCGACAGTCTCGATCTTTGTCACGCCATGCTGTGCCTAGAGTGCGGAACGTGAGAAGTACAGTGGAGAACCAGGGCTTCGGGTTCAGGCTTTGCCCTAAACCCTGAACGTTAAGCCCTAAGCCCTAACCTGCTTCGGCTTCTTGGCAGCAGCACAGCTCACTACTTGCCCGATTGGGGTTTCTACTCGCTTGAAAGAGGGCTCAAACTTCGGGCTCCTGCGACATCTCGGTATAGGGTTTAGGCTTTAGGGGTCAATGTAGTAAACTTAAGTTAAGTTTAATAAAATGTAAAATAATACCAGATGTTGGCCTATAATATGGTATAATATGCGTATTGTACAATATCAGGGTTGTAAAGGGTTTTAAACCCCAAACCCTAAATTGTAAACTCGTGTTAGGGTTTAGGCCAAATGGGTGTCAACGAACTACTCGTCCGAGTTGCGCAAATCACGTCGATGTTGGTAAATGTTTCCTTGGCCCGGCAGATGCACACCCAGGGATCAAAAGAAATGGCACGTTGCAGCCGGATGGCTAGAACCCTTCTGGGAACCCGGTAAAGCCCTTATACACCCCCTGCATGACCCGATCTATACAACCCTATATACAAACACCCCTCAAACCAAGGCCACCATGCTGCTGTCCTCTTAAGAGGCAGGCAAGCAGCGTTCAAGAAGTGGAAAAGCTTCGAAGGACTCATGCTTTGCGAGTACCTGGGCTTTGAGGTAACCAGGGGAAAAAGTATAGACTTGTAATTCGTAATGGTTCTCTCTCAGTAACAAGTCTAACAAGTCCCCAAAAAGTATCATTCAAGTATAATACTTTGAATACTGCCCCCACTCAGTAACAACTGAATCGTGACCTTAATAGTAGCCCGTTTATAGGCTGTTACTGGATGGGGGCAGTAATGTAGGCGCCTGAACAATTAGAATAGGGTTTCGGGGCCCATTATACCCTGCCTTTAACAAGGAACCCCCCCGTGCTATGGCACGTGGGGTTTGGCTATGCGTCAACTACGGGCGCTCGATCCGAAACCCTACATGCGTATATACATACATAAATGCATGAAAGACATACGCGGTTAATTGAAAAAAGAGCCCCCAAAAAAATAGTGTTGATAATTAGTTTGGCCTGAT